TCTCTCTCTCTCTCTCTCTCTCTCTCGCTTTCAATTTTCAGTTTAGTTGTGTTAAATTTTAATGTAATTAATATTACAAACGCAGATTAGCTTCATACAATTAAAAATGGTACAAAGCAAATAAATATATGCCTATATTAAAAAGATGAACACACCTAACAAAGGATATGCATTCATTACGCAAAATATTTATTACTCAGTAAATTAAAGAAGCTTAACCCTATAAAGCATTCTGTATCATATTTGATCGATATCGAATTATCAATATCAACAAAACTTTGCTAAATGTAAGAATAACTTTTATATTGCTACTATTAATATTTCAAGATCAAGAACAATATCAAGAGCATTTAATTAATGAACTAAAGCAACTTAGGTTGACGTGATTATTCATACTTTTTTTTTTTTTTTTGAAAAATCATGTGAAAACAGGCTTTTGGGGAAAGTTTATTTGTATTTCTCCGTAGTCATTGTTTTGCATTGCATTGTATGTTTTGAGCTTTGATCATACAATTATATTTCATCTTACTAAAACGTATTTTTGGGAGATACAGAGTGACAACTGACATTTATTTGCATTTTAAGCATTCTGATACTATTATACTAAAAATCTATTTGATGTACATTATAAGCTATCAGACTTTGGCCATATTATTTCATCTTTTTGGCCTAATTGCATATTTTACCTCAGTGTGTGCCTCTGAATAAATTTTCTTTCCTCAGTGAGTGTGACAAACTCACTATTTGAGCCATAAAAGCCTGATGTGTCGAATACAGTACAAAACATGAAACACAAATGCAAACTTTTTTCCTAAATACATTTTCGAGTTTCAAAACTGTTTTATTCAAAATATTATATTTTTCTATCATATATGTCAGGCTTTACAGGGTTGATCGTCACACTTTTTACTCCAGTTATTTTCACTCCATTTCTCAAAGTAGTTTAATTTTGAAAAGTCTGTTTCTTTATAGATTATTCCTTACAGGCTTGGCCACAGTAAACAAACAAATAAACATTTCCACTGTTAGGAATAGAAATACAGCACACAGTGGTCATCAGAGGGGCATGTAGTCACACAACATCAGTGGTTCTCAACTCCAGTCCTGCATGGGGACCCATGCTCTGCACATTTTGAATGTCTTCTTATTTAACGCACCTGATTCAGATCATCAGCTCGTTAGGAGGGAGATTTATGAACTGAACCGAGTGTAATATGAATAAGAGAGACATACAAAATGTGCAGAGCAGTGTGGTCCGAAACCCAAAACCCCTGCACTATATGGAGTAAATTGTAACAATGGATAATTCACCCAAAAATGAAAATTCTGTCATCATTTATTCACCCTCATTCCAAACCTACATGACTTTCTTTCTTCTGCGGAACACAAGACAAGATATTCTGAAGAACATTGGGGTTGAAACAACATTGTAATAAAAAATAATAATAATATAATAATAATAAAAAAATTGGGATATTTTTCAAAATATCTGAAAATAGCTTTAAGCCAGAACTGTGGCTTTGTGTGACTTTTACTTAATGTCCTTTTTAAACTTATGCACATTTGTTTTTGTTTTTAAAGCTGTCTTTAAAATAAATAAAATTAATATTTAATTGTGTGTAATTTATGTTGTAGAACCAAACAGAACAATGTTAATCACAGACCTTGTTTTACTTTTTATATTTAAAATTTCATTGAGGGAACCCATTGGGAATTTGCCTTTTGATTAAGTCTACAAATTGATCAAATCATATCCGAACATCTCTATAGGAAGTTTTATTTCACTCCGAGCAAGTGGAGCGATTCAAAGCCTTGGCCCTTGATCATGGGTTGAGTTGGATTTAGATCCTGAAAAAGTCCTGCAGAGAATGAGAGAAGCTCTCTTTGTTCTTCCTGAGAACCTAAGTCAGATGTGGATGTTTAGTGGAAAGGCTAGAGAAGATTACAAGACACAAAAAGGCAATTCAGACAGACACATAACTATTTGTGTTCTCCAGAAATGTTGATTGTTTAATTTTGTTAAAGTTTTTTTCCCCACATTTTTCATTTCTGTAACTTTAATTGTACTCATAAAAGAAATGCAATTCACTCACAATTTTATCAAAATGTATTTCAAAACAATTTTGTCTTGGTCAGATTATGTTTTTTTTCTACAGTATGGAGATTTACTGCAATGCTCTTCTGACTGAAAAGGACTTTTAATTTGTATGAGAAACGTTTTTCATTTCCTGTGCATTCAGTAATTGGAGATATTTAATAAGAAATTTTAACTAGTGGAATACATTTAGGTCAACGTTTATTTGCTGAAATGTTGAGCAAACATGGAAGTGTAGATGACTTTAAAAAAAAAAAACACTAATACTCTAATCATCTGAGAGCCCCTTACAAGGATAACGTAGTTTACTATAAATAAATATAGGCTATTCAGGGTGATGTATTCTGCAAGTCTAGTCACGAGACACATGCGATTTTTCCCCCATGACATCAGCGGTGTGTGATTTTGATAAATTAGTTTTGCCAAAATCAATTGATGCGCGCGCGCGTGCAAAAGAGGCAGAGGGGAGGGGGTTTGGGGTCCAAAGCTTAATATTATCACGTGTATTACTGCACAGTACAAGCCATGTTGCTTAACAACTGTGTCAGACAAGGGGGGAAAGTTGTCGCTGTCGTTCGTATAAGAACATTCCCCGCCTCCTGAATGAAAATACGTGAGCCCTTTTTTTTCCACGCCTTCAAAAACAAGCAAAATACCAAGAAATAGGAGATTTTCACCGGATGAGTGTTTGGTTTCTGCTCGTAACCGAAGACAAAAACGGCCGTGATGAGCTATAGGTCTGATAAAATGCTGGCTGAAAGCAGTATCGTCAGAGGTAGGCTCGTTTGTTTTCATTGCGTTGAATCAGATGGCAGCATTGTAACATGTCGTTGTTGTCACGCAGATACGAAATTGCTGCAGAATCGATTGATGTGCTATTTTTCTTTGCCATATTTTCCTTTCCTTTGAACTTCAGTCGAATGCACTCATGACTGTTTTCATTTCATGCTCGTATTGCGTCCTGTTTTGCTTTGTTGTTGCATGCAGGTCGGGGCATTGTGAATCTGCACTGTCTCTTTGCCAAGAATAAATATGATAGCGTTGCATGTTCATTTTATTGCAAAGAGTGTCAATACGATACGATGTTCTTTTCGTCTTTTGGAAACATGCTTTGTAGACTGAATCTAACAAACAAAGTGTGTATGTGTGTGTTTGTGTGTGTGTATATATATATATATTATAAAATTATATACACACTGAATCTAACAAATACAATTTTGTATATATCATACATGCATACATATATATTTATATAATTAATACGATGTTCTTTTCGTCTATTGGAAACGTGCTTTGTAGACTAAATCTAACAAACAAAGTGTGTGTGTGTGTGTATACAGTATATATTCAAGAACAGCTTGCAATTTACTTTTGGTATGCCTTTTTCTATGCATTTTAGGCCAATTTTACAGGAATGCTAAGGGGTTAAGCAGCACAACTGTTTTCAACATTGATAATAATAAGAAATGTTTCTTGAGCACCAAATCAACATATTAGGCTGATTTTTTAAGGATGATGTGACACTGAAGACTGGAGAAATGCCTGCGGAAAACTCCGCTTTGGATCACAGGAATAAATTACATTAAAAAAATATAAAAATTATAATAATATTTCCCAGTATTCTTTTTACTGCCTTGATGAGCATAGGAGATTTTTTTGAAAAACATTTGAAAAAATCTTATCGAGCCCAAACTTTTGGATATACACTACCCAAAATGGTAGTGTATATGCATTTAAAATTACAGTCTTTTTCTTCTGGGAAAACAGACCAAAATACTGATGACTTATCATGCACTAAACACATTCTAGTCCAATCAAATGTTCTTGAGAAAAAAAAAATAGTTATAATGATATTTATAATTTTATCTAACAAATACTTTTTCTCTGTTTACACTTAGGTGATCTGCCCAGGTGAGGTGGCGTGGTGCTGACAGATATGGAGGTGGGAAGTCTGCCTGTCGAGCTTTGGCGCCTCATTCTGGCATACCTGCCTCTGCCAGATCTAGGTCGATGCTGTCAGGTGTGCAGAGCCTGGCGGGAACTCATTTTGAGTTTGGACAGCACACGTTGGCGCCAGCTCTGTCTAGGATGCCCTGAATGTCGCCACCCAAATTGGCCTCGTTGCCCCCACCTGCCCCCGGTCTCCTGGAGAGAGGCTCTCCGTCAGCATGCTCTTGCCAGCCGTACCTGGACCCAGAATGGCTCAGACCTCCACTCGTCTGCCTGCCTCCATCTTTTCCGCCGGAGGAAAGACCGCAGGGTTTGGCATGTTGGGACCGTGGCAGGAGGTGGCTATGAGACTTTCAGAGGAGCATTGGCTGCGGCAGGGCCGTACGATAAGGTGGTGCTCCACGCGGGTGTGTATGAGGAACAGGTGGAGGTGTCCCTCAAGGTGCCTGTGGAGATTGTAGGAATGGGCAAGCTGGGGGATGTGTCGTTGTTGGTGAGCTTTGATCAACAGTGCCCGACTTCGAGGCTGTGCAATCTGGTGTTCATGCCAGCGTGGTTTTCACCTGTGGTTTATAAGGTGAGGCTTGATACTTCCACATCAAAAGCATGCAAATTGTAACATCTGTGCAGATTCAACCAGAAAAAGAAAACTGGCAACATTTCGTCATACATCCATAATTGGCTGAACACATTCTAAACCCTATTAACCGGGGCTAAAAATCAGGGATTAACTCAGTCATCAGCATCTAAATCTGTAATTGACCCTTTGCCGGGAGTTTGATTGACAGGTGATCTGACCAATCATAACGCAGAATCTGCCATTTTGTCTGACA